TGTAAGTAATTTTTAAAGAATAATTGGTCCAAGTCAAACACTTAATAGGAAAAAAAGAAGCTTGTTTGAGATGGAATGGCTCATTTGAAAATCGAATATCAAAAGCAGTGTCAGTGTTCATGTAGGCTGGGACTGTACTGAGCCCCAGAACCCAGCTGCACAGCATGCATAATGAGGGCACTCTAGCATGAATCAGATGTGTTGCATAACAGGGTCTGACATCACAGCTGGAGAGCTCTGCTTGCTAGAGACCAAGAATAAGAGAACTGAGCCATGACAAAGCATGGATCACTGGCGTTGGTGCTGATGTCACAGGCAAAACCCCAAACGTGCACAGAAACCCCCCAGTGGATTTATTCAGAATGAACAGTTGACCACCAGCCGGAGGGAACGGTTGAAAATTAAATTGAAGTGCATTTAAAACAGAGAACAAACTGTACACAAGGGGTGGGGGTGTGTGGAACAAGCTAGCATGTTGATAACGTCAGTATCCTGATTTCTTTCAGCAAACAGCTGAAATCAATTAGCTTTTAACTACCAAATGGGCAAAATGGGTAGAATGTCCTCTTCTGTTCTGATGAAACCTGAGAATCCCACTCATATACATGCATTCACAAACTGGCACAGTACACTAAAACACACTATCTCCATGTGTCTGCTAAAACACCCTGCAGGATGACCTGTATACACAATTCCAGTGCTAATTCTAATCTGAGTGGAAGCCTTTCAGATTGTTAAATCACATATCTAGGCATCACTGTGTGTTTAGTATCCAGAATGCTTACAATTGAAAAATAATTGCACTGCATTTGATCAGTCAAAGGGTGCACTTTGTGCATTTTTATTTTGTGCATTCATTACTTTTTGTGATCTGCAATGCAGAGTTTAAAAAGTATAAATTGAACGTAATGAGGCAAAACACATCAGATGTATTTAGACATTAAAAAGTCCAGTTCTTCTGAAGTCAAAAGCAGTCTGCAGTTAAGAGCTTCATCACGCTCAAGAGAAATGTGTTGCTTCAGAAAAGAATTATTCGCAATATACTGTATGGTCTTAGCACACCATTACATGGTGCCTGTCAAACCTCTGGGTACAGATCCTCCCTTTCCCAAGTCACAGTGAAACAGTCTCCACCTTTGTCTGGTACCTACTGACCACTTGGCACTGCTACTCTTGTGTTCAACACTAGTGAACTGAATTCAGTTGTCTTTTCCCTTCTTCTCACTGTATTTCTGCTGGGCACCCAGAATAATGTAGCACCATACGTTAATACTTCCTCATCCATACCATTCTCATTGGCACCCATCCAGCTGAATTACGTCATTAAGTGCGAATGAAGGAACCATGTGACCTTTTTGAACTGGAGTGATCCATCACTATCATCTCTATCTATATATAATATTACAGCCCTAAAACTGCTATTTTTTAGAAGTTATAGCAAAATTATAGCACAGACTATGTTTTCTGACAGCAGTGAGAATGCAATATGCCCTGAAAACAAAGGTTTAAGAAATGACAGGATGAGAATCTCACATAATTTGTCAACCAAATAAGTTACAATATACATGCCAAATGGCCACCTTTACAAGTAACGGAGACATACAGGGTATACATTAAGATGTATTGAGATTCAGAAGGCTTTTGATGCTGTTCCTTAACAGAGAGGACAGTTAAGGGGTGGAAGCGCAAATGAGGGTGATGTAATTAGTGGAGTAACACAGGGAGGGGTCTGTACTAGGACTTCTGCCTTTCTTCATTTATATCAGTGATGTAGACTCTGCTCTAGTTAGTGAGCTAGCCAGGTCTCAGGTCTGCAAATGATACAAAATTGCAGGAGCAGCCAATGAAATTGAAAAAATCATGTGCGGCTGATTTGAGATCAAATTCAAGACTAATCAAGACTAAGGGAAAAAGACAAATCCACTTGCCAAAAAAGTCAATTCATTTGTCCTAGATATCCAAGTTGTCAGCTTTTCAGTACATTGCTCAGTGCTAACACTTCATTTTTGGAACACTCTTCCTTAATAATACATTAGAGAATCTTGCCTTAAAATGCACCTGTTCTTAAAGTCCTGTAACTTCCTTCTTTAGTTTCTCAGCTATACAGTTATACATGGCTGTATTGTACTTCTTCATATGTGCAATTTATGTAAAGTGCCTTGAGAATGCAATGGGGTTGAAGGGCACTATATTAAAATAACATTGATTGATTGCTTCAATTACTGACTAACTGGTTGATTGAATGATTGACTGGTTGATTGATTGAATTAATTAATTAATGACTGGTTGATCGATTGAATTAATAACTGGTTGATCGATTGAATGAATGACTGGTTGATTGAATGATTGAATGAATTAATGACTGATTGATTGAATGAATGACTGGCCGATTGGTTGATTGAATGAATGAATGACTGGTTGACTGATTGACGGATTAATTGATTGACTGATTGGTTAATTGAATGAATGAATGAATGACTGGTTGATTAATTGATGGATTGATTGCTGATCGACTACTCACCTAGCATTCCCTTGTTGGGCTCGGAGAGACACATGTCCTTCTCGGCGCTGGGCAGCACAAAGCCCACCACAAAGATCTCCACTCCGTCCGCCATCAGCGCCAGTCCCAGCACGAAGTAGAGCGTCCACTGGAAGCGGCCGTGCCCACACTCCTGCAGGATGGTCTCATACTGCTGCGCCAGCTCCTCCCGGTCCTTGCGCCTCTCGCCAGCCAGCTCCCCGAAATCCCGGAACTGGGCACCCGTCGCCGCCAAGCCCTCGGCCTGAGGCCCCCCCAGGCCGTCCGCCTTCCCCGACTCTGCCCGCGGGATGCCCTGGTACTCGCCCTCGTAGATCTCGTCGTCCTCGTCGTGGCCCTCGGTGGAGTCGCTGTTCGCCCCCTCGTCCTCGTTGTGCCGGCTGTCGCTGCGGTAGTAGCCGTCCTGGGGCTGGGGGTAGTCGTCGTCATCGTCTTCCTCAAAGCGGGAGTAGGAGCGCTTCGTGTACTCGTCCGCCACCTTGTCCACGCTCCGGCCCACCTTCTTGGCCGCCTGCCGTTTCACCTCCTTGGCGATGTCCTTGGCACCTCGGATGAAGGCTGTTCGGTCTCTATACCCATCATCCATGCTGGCAAAAATAGTGGGGCAACAAAACGCACCTGGAAATTCTTGACCTTTTTCAGGGAAGCCCAAAAGGCATGCAGATAGTCAGAAGGGATCTTCCTGGAAGTCTCCTCTTCTAGCAAGAGCCGATGTGCGCTAGTGGGTTCAGCACCACGGACAGCTCCCTCTCCCCAGTCAGCACCAGGAACGGCGGACAGCACCTTTGCCAAGCTGAGATTCTGGTGGGGAGGGAAGAAAAGATCAGGTCATTGTTACACAGAAGAAACACGGTTGTAAAATGTTTTTTTTTTAAACAAAAGACAACCTACTTTGTTGGCTCTGATGTAAGAAACACATTCTGCGTCTTTATTCATTCAAAAACGCAACTGATCGGCATCAGATTTGGATCACAGATGCAGATGGACAGGGGAAAGGCTTTCTAAAACACATTTTCTAGATCCATTTAGGTGCTTTCGTACAGCATGTGTGCATTCTGGGGGGAAACATCCCATATTTGGAAATTTTTGACTAATATTTTTAAAGTTCTAGAAAATGTATAATGTACTGTATAGCAATACAATTCAGTTTATGGAAAGACATTTCCAGATCATATGCTGGTTCTGGATTTTTTCCTACTTAAATACTAACAGGGCAGAGGTATGTGCGCTTTAGGGTAGATGTGTTTTTTTGGGAATGTATTTTTTTTCATAGTCCTACTATTGTTCTCTGTCAACCAAATGTGCAATGTAGATGAGCACTGTAATAACAGCCACATACAAGAGTTAATCTTAATTTTTTTCTTTCTATCTGATGAATAGGAGCAGAATTCTTGTTCTGAAGTTGCAGTCTTTGTAAAGCTGTGTGTGAATTATATTTCAGTTTTTTCCTATTGTGAATATGAATCAAACAGCTGCTTATTAATATTGTATTTTCTGTATGTGTGTTTTTACCAACACCAAAATGATCCTCTTAGTGGCATTAGGAGAAAATGGGTTTTACAAAAAAAATTTTGGGATACTGTATTGGCATACACATGACAGCTGCATGCATTTTTATTCATATCACTATTGTAAGTCACATTTCATTTCCTGTAGAACACCTGGTATCTCAGATAGCATATTAATAAACGCAGGATTCATATTTTAGATAAATATATTTGTTCCTGACAACTCATGTTAAATTTAGAAGCATGAGAAACTGTTTTAAGTTTGGAATGACTGTCATATGATATCTTACCAGGAGGCAGAATTAAATCAAATTCTCTGTGTATGATTACACAGACTCTTGAAAGTAATTCAATCCTTGTCTGCATTCTGCGCCATTCTCTATTGATGATTCTGCTTACATTGTGAAGCGACATGTCATCTTATACATGAAATAAAAATAAGCACTGAACAGATATCTCAAGACTATGAGTCGTGTGGAGGACGCACAGTGGTTTTACAAGCTGCACTAGAAGCAGACAACCTTGATAGAGTTTTGAGTGTTAGGATCCTGTAGATGTTAGTGACATCTTTAAATTAGCACCCGATTACAACCTGGAAAAGACTTTGATTTATTTTTCCCTTAATTGGTTCAATGAAGTCATTTAAGGTCTGAAAACCACACAAACGCCTTGCACTAGAGTCAGTACAACACTAAATGACCTTCCAATATTAACTTCCTTGCTTGTCACGCTCGAAAAAAACCCCTCCTCCAAAGGAGGCTCCGGCTCTTCCTTGTTCTATACTCATCCCCTGCACCTGCCTCCGGTTCCAGCCTCCCGTGCTATAAAAACCAGACGTTCCTGCCAATGTGGGCTCAGCTTTGGAAGATGGACGCCTGGAAGCCCGCCTACCCGCGAGTCCAGGAGCGACTCGACGGCATTGGCTTCTACAGCGTTCTGACCTTCTGGGTCAGGGACTGGGAGCGTCTTGTCCCGTTACCCCCTTTTATTCCTCCGACCCTCCGTTGGATCCCGCTCCAGCTTTTAACTCTGTTTGTCTGTCAGGATGGTCCGGATGGACCCGGTCTTGGACATTTGCTACACTCTCGGATTTGCCTCGGATTTAATCGGACTGTTTGCCTCGGCCACACCTCCCCCGAACACCAGCACACTGTGGACACGCCCCCTGTTTTCCTTCCAGCCCCTTTGCATGCTTTTTCCCCGTGTTTTCCTCACTACCCCCCAGATTGTGCTGTCTGCATAGGGTCCTGAAAGAATGCTACGTGACATTGCTCTTGGCTAAAAGACCCTTTCCAGGACTTTTGAAATAATTCTCAAATTTTCTGTTGGCGTGATTTAGTTAATGTATAAAAACACAATGGAAGAACCAAAGAAAAACAAATCAGGGGGAGAATGGGTAACACCAAGCACCTACTTTGAAATCAAATTTGATTTGTGAAGTACAATTTCATGTTTGTGTCTTACGGAATTGTAGACAATATCCAATAAAACACACGCAAAGAACAAGCTTAAGCAATTAAAAACAAGTAATGAAAGATTTAAAAAAAACAATTATTCAAATGCTGAAGCATAAAAATCAATTTTTTTATGTTTTAATATACAAGGCTTCAGACACTCGAGAAGAGATCTGAGAGACCACAGAGTGACTTCAGGGTTCGACACACACAGCAGAGAGGCACCAGCAGGGAGCGTCGGGCTGCCAGAGATGCAAAGGAGGGAAATGTCGTGTAAAACACTGCAATGCAGGAATTAAAAATCAAATGGAAAAAGTGCAGGTGGATTACATTGCTAGCCGGTCGACCAGATTCTCTGTGACTCCCTATAATATACAGTACCTAGGCAACACTTCACCATTTAACTCATCGCATGCCATATTCTGCAGTTACTTGAAACTTGTGAGTTAATAATCTTAATTAACAGGTCTACACCTTTGACCTTATAGGTGCAAGAAGACCGAGTGAAATGCTTGAAGACCATTCTGTCTCCTGTAGCACCCTCATTTGCAAGGGTCTTCCTTTAAAGATACAGAGATGTGAATACAGATGTGATATTTTATTAATGTGAGGTACTAATGAAGGATGAAGTATACTTGTATGGAGTTGTCAGCTAAATGAATACATAAAAATCTTTGGAATAATCATAATCCTAATGCTGAAGCAGGCAGGAAATATGGCTCCCATCGGTGTCCCGTCTATAGTTTGGAGTTTTTTTTTTTTTCAAAAAAAGGGATTAAAAAAGGGGCAGAGTGGTGGCTCTGTGGCTAAGGAGCTGTGCCTGTGCCTGGAAGGTTGCCAGTTCAAATCCCACAGCTGGCAGAGGAATCCTACTCCGTTGGGCCCCTGAGCAAGGCCCTTCACCCCAGCTACTCCAGGGGTGCTGTGCAATGGCTGACCCTGCGCTCTGACCCCCAGCTTCTCTCCCTGTCTGTGTGTCTCATGGAGAGCAAGCTGGGGTCTGCAAAAAGACGAATTCCTAATGCAAGAAATTGTATAGGGCCAATAAAGTGATCTGACCTTATCTTATAAAGCGGTTCCTTCAATATCATGGAAGACGGTAGACCTCCTGTGCAAAAAACGTACACCTTGACTTGTGACCCAGCGAGGCAGCAGAAATAGCAAGTTGCCGGACTGCTGGTACATGACTCCAGGGACACGCCTGGCAGCAGCTCCAGCCACAGGGCTGTGATCACACAACCAGCCTGACAGCTGCAGACAGGGTGAGCTGCCGCCTGCTACAAACATGCTCCCCCCTGTCTTTTCCAGACCTATTTCTACAAACGTGCGGAGAAACGAGCAAGGCTGATATATACAGTATACTGTATGTCTGGGGAGAGAGAGACATAATGGGATGGAAAATAAAATGCCGGGAAGTCTGCGAATGAAATGAAGTCTTATTGATCTGTTTCTTATTTGGAAAAGCAGGCCGAGGCCGTTGTCACATTCCCTATCATGCTGGGACAAGTCTGTTGTAACACAGTTTAAGAATAAAGCACTTCCACCCTACGTTAACAGTTGTTTTATTTTATTACCATAAAGAGTCACAGAAGTCATATAATGAGGTAAAAATGACTCATGTACAGCATCTGCCAACCTAATCAACTGCGCAATGAGTTAACCTGTTGTACGTTTCATTTGTGTTTTATTCTCTTTAGAAACACGTGAGTTTGTGATTAACCCTCTTTTTGTGGACAGAGGTTTATTTGAATGTTTCTTTAAGTCCATGCAGTAGTGAGTGCTGCAGAGCAGCAGTCAGCCTGCTCAATCTGTTACTAAGCCCTCCAGGTATCTGGGGTCGGTTCAGATGCTGGGGCTGGAGATAAGAGTCCAATTATATAACAGTTGAAGCCAGTACGTGTTTTGCATTTCACACTGGCATTCACATTTGGAAACTCTACACAGACAATCAGGGAAGCCTCAAATAATATCCTGCAGAGAGAATCAGAATAATAGAATCAGAATCTCACAGGTGCAGAATGGAGTGTCTGTATATCTGTCTGTGTCTATGTATATCTGTCTGTGTATATATGCAGTATATCTAATGATGTCATGCTTTCTGAAATCATTCAAGAAATACCTGGGTGAGATTCTTTGATCAATAAGCTACTAGCAACCAAATGAGCATGAAATGTTGAATGGCTTCCTCTTACATGACATTTTTTGTAGGAACAATTAGTTCATGCTTAAAAAATTCATAATCCTCTTGTTTGCAGCTTTTCTTATTCCTTGGAAGGACCTATTTTACAGGATTAATCACTGCCATTTATACATGAACTTGTACCTGAGATGTATTTTAAGGAGGCACACCTTCTCACACAGAGAGTTGTAGGTGTGTGTAACAAGCACTAGGAACACTGTGCTAAAGCTGACTCCATGGAACCCTTTAATAAACAGTTTCATTGAATAATTTGAGTCTTAAAAGAGAAGGCTATGAGGGGGCTTAATTAAAGAATTCAAATACCTCAATGGCACTGACATAAAGATTTCAGAATCAACAGTGAATCTCTAACCACATACATCTTATTGAATGTTTGTTTCAAGACACAACTATCTGATATTCTTAAAACACAGTGCTAGTAAAAAAACAATTAAGCTATATTGGCTGAATTATGCCTTCTCATTTGTAACGTTTTGTTCTTAAGGCTTCTTGGATCATCACTACTATCTAATGGCAAATAAAATTATCTTCTTTCCACTCCTACTGTCTGACACTTTTCAGGATCTGGCTGATGCTTAAGCCTGAACTGGGCTCTGTTAAAAACAATCGATTGGCATGAACTGACTGATCTCCTTATGC